GTAAATCGCCAACTTGAGAATTTGAAAAGCCATCGAATGTAATTTTAAGAGGATATTCCCCGTCCATCTAAGTCTCATTCAGCTCAAACCCAGCCTTCGAGTATTAAAAAACTTTAGTTTTAAGAGGATATTCCCCGTCTACGTAAGTCAGCGAGCTCAAACTCAGACATCAGGTACGTGTGGTATCCACGTACGGGACCGTGAAATTTTTTTTTTAGTAAGTTGCTAACTCAGGAGCCAGGAAAGCTAGAAAGCTGAAAGTTTGAGGGGATGTTTCCTGACAGTTTTGGCGGCCAGTCTTAATTTGTTTAGCCAGAAGCATTTGCCGAAAAAAACCGATACCGGTAGCGGCAAAACCTGCAGGGAACTGTGCAAGAAACGCATTTTCAAACGGGCAGCCCGTGCGTTGGCCAGTTATTGCTACCTGGATTTCTCTTTATCAACATAACTTCGCTAGCAATTTGCTAACAAAAAAAGTCCTTTTTGTTAAAAAAATCCTTGGCCACGCAGTAATCCAATTAGTGTCACTGGTAAGAATGCAGTGCTGGCTAAGACAGGGCATAGAAAAAGTGGGGTTTGGGGGTGTGAGGCAAAAGTAATTAGTCTGAGATAATTTCAACCAAACCAGTGCCAAATTCTTTGGAAATAACAAATTAAACTTGGTTTGTTCAAAATCGTTACGTCTGGTAAGTGAACGTGTGGCCAAAGGGGTCAATGAGCGAACATGACCAAACTATTTCAGCAAACATAACAAAGCATACCTTCCAGTGCGCAAAACGAGGATTCGGTGCAAATATCTCGTTTTCTTCAAAGAAGTAAGCGGTTGCTTCCACTGCTTCACCTCCGAAAACGATCAAAGTAAGCGGTCCACCAAAGCTTACCGGTGTTTCAGCTTTAGGCGAACTAACAGCTGGAGGCTCCGTTGCGGGAAATTGTAAACTCCATGATTCGCTCGTACCGTTCTGCCCCATGTACATCCTTCAGTGACAGAAAAAATAAGGACTAGTCGGGAACTATACAGTTTTGCTGAAGTTTTTTTACGTATTCGGAAGAAGAAAAGCGGAGATACCGACTAAAAGTCAGCAAACCGAAGAGGGATAGAGCCAGGGCGTTGTTGTTTTTGCTGTAGAGCAAAAGGCACTAGGACTGCCCAAGCAGATGGGTTAGCGGAGGAACAATGAACCAGAAAGCATCTTCGAACAATACAAAATCAAACAAAAAAGTACAGCGATATTATCTGTATCGTCTACCTGGGAAAACGTCCCCTTGTGCAGGGCTTTACGACCGCATATATCGGTATTTTTTGAGCCTCAGGTAATGATTTGATGAGACGACAAATTTCCATAGCACGTTGAACAGCGCCAAAGGGATCAAGCTCCCCTAACGCACGGTAACTGATCAGAATAACACCTTTGATTGTGTTCTGAATGTGTTATTATCTTTGATTAAATAACAGTTTGCGTTTGAGGCACTACGACAATTGTGAATGTAAAAGAGAATATGCATGAAGCAAAATTTCATACGTGTCTTTTATATTTACAGTATTTTTCATAGGTACCTTTTTTTACATTCTTGTACTGTGAAAGTAAAAGGAGATACATATGAAAAGTAGTGCGAATGTAAAAGATATATATGTATATATATATATATCTTTTTATGTATATATATATACATATTTTATATCTTGCTTTTATCAGATCTGTTGATGCTTTGCTCCCGGTTGATAGGGTGAATTCTCATGATTTAAAAGTGGCAGCATTTGGGACATGGTAGTGATGC